CTGCCGCTATCCAGTACTAGTAGACCAGGCACCCCCAGTTGGCCGCCACAACGGGGATGAGCAATCCGCTGTTATCAAGCACTTTCGGCTTCAGGCACCCCCACAGTGCCCACCACGACAGGGTTGAGCACCGCGTCGCTATCCAGTCATCCGGAGTGGAGCGCTACCGCTGCGTCCATCACGACGGAGGCTAACACGGCGATGCTGCCCAGCTCCTCAACATCAAGCGCGGCTACGTCGTCTGGCACGACGGCAACCGCAACGATGTCCAACGATACGACGTCGAATAATGGCACGGTGCCTACCGTTACGGCGTCGAGCACCGGTCTCCATACCGAACACTACGGGATACAGTGGCAACACAATGTACGACTGTACGAAATCGGGAACAACGTCGTTTTGTCAGAACTACAGAATCGAACGCTACCGCGATGTCCACCACGATGGAGTCGAGCACTACGTCGGCATCCAGTGTTTAGGACTCCCGCACTGGCACTTCGTCTACCACGACGGTGTCGGGACACTTCGCTGTCGACCACTGCAGAATCAAGCGCTAACATGTCGGCCACCTAGCCGAAGTCGACCACCACGTCGGCATTCATCACTGCGGATTCGGCGCCACCTCGACGTCTACGAGCGCGACAAATTTGTCCACCGGCACGAACTCAAACAACATTACGCATTCGATCACTTCGGAATCGAATTCTTCCGTGCTGCTAGCCACCACGGAAGCGAGCAAGACCTTGGTATGCAACTTTGAGGAATCGAAAGCTGCCACGGTATCACGGCATCCATCACGGCAGGGTCGAGCATCACGTGGGCATCCAACACCAAGGAATCCAACGCTGGCGCGTCATCCACCATAACAGAGTCATGTGCCCCGTCGGCATTAAACACTGCAGAGTCGAGCGCTACCACAGCGTCCACTACGACGGCGCGAACATCACGCCGATCTCATACACAACGGACTCTTGCATATACGCATCACACGCGTCTGCAACGTCGGACTCCAACGCCGGCATGTCGTTCGCCATGACGGAATCGCGTTCCCCGTCGACATCCCGCTGCGCAGGGTCGAGCGCTACCGCATTGCGTGTTCGTGTGCGTGTGCGCGTGCGCGTGCGCGTGCGCATTGCGTGTTCGTGTGCGCGTGCGCGTGCGCGTGCGCGTGCGCGTGCGCGTGCGCGTGCGCGTGCGCGTGCGCGTGCGCGTGCGCGTGCGCGTGCGCGTGCGCGTGCGCGTGCGCGTGCGCGTGCGTGCGCGTGCGTGTGCGTGTGCGTGTGCGTGTGCGTGTGCGTGTGCGTGTGCGTGTGCGTGTGCGTGTGCGTGTGCGTGTGCGTGTGCGTGCGTGTGCGTGTGCGTGTGCGTGTGTGTGTGTGGTGTGTGTGTGTGTGTGTGTGTGTGTGTGTGTGTGTGTGTGTGTGTGTGTGTGTGTGTGTGTGTGTGTGCGTGTGCGGGTGCGCGTGTGCGTGTGCGCGTGTGCGCGTGTGTTTGTGTGTGCGCGCGTTCGTGCGTGTCAAAGCCTTGCGGGCAATTCTGGGCTCCATGTGAAAACGGCAACCGCATGCAGCTCGCCGCAGACCGCGAAGACCTGACCCGCGGGACAGGCCCACCGAGGCCTGGCCCGGGAGGAAACCTTACAGAGCAGAGCGGCCTCGAACCGAACGAAGCCAGTTCGAGGCGGCCTCAGGAGGGAAGCTCAGCGGGCCCACCCGCCCAAACCCAGGCCCCCCAAGGATCGTTGCAGTTAAGTTCGGGCACGGCCCGAACCCAGGCCCACAAAGGCTCGCAGAGCGCCACGCGCGGCGCCACCTCAACCACGGATCAGCGGAAGCATCGGGGCCCGGACGATGGGGCCCATACCCCCACTCAAGACGCTGGGAATGAACAGCGTTTATCCGACCCCCATCCCCAGCGGCGTGGCCTGGCCCCACTGGCCGATTTACCCCCCTAGATGAGGACGCAGGCCGTCCCCGTCGGGTTTGCAGGGGTGTATCCCCAACCGGGGTGGTAATTTGGCGGGGGTCTCGAAGGGGATGGGGATGGGGGTGGGGGTCGGTGAAACGATGCCGAGGAAACAGCAGAACACGGCCCCAACGCGAGCCCGGAGTCATAAACAGCACTCACACGTATCCTCATCGGGTCCGGGGCGCGCCGCCCTGGCCTGCCGCGGCCCTTGGAGACCAGCGGGGCGCCGAGGCCTTCGATCAGGTCGTCGGGCCTGGGCCAGCGACCCGCGCCGAAGCTCTCGTTCGTGCTCGCCGCCGCACGGCGGGTCGGCGCCGGGGACGCATCGAATTCCGCATCGTCGGAGCCCTCCACGCATGCCGCGTCCGTCGCATCGGGTAGCCCAGCGAAAGTATCGAGGGTCTCCACGAGGTCGTGGTCACCCGCAGACGACAACGCCGCCCGCCACAAAGCGAACGGCCGCGCGCTTGCCCGCGCACCCCCGAGCCCGGCCGCAGGAAAGTCAACCAGCGCCTAGCACGCGCCCACGTCGCGCCGAGCAACCGTATGGTCGCCGCCGACGCCGTCCCTCCCGCCAGCCTTGGCGCCCGTCCCAAGGAGCTGCGCATGCGCGTCGGCGATATCGTGGATCGCTTCGCCCAAGGCCGCAAACGGCAATCCCACAGTGGATCCCACACCATCGTGACGATGATCGACGTCAGAGCCGCCCCGTCGAGCAACGCCAGGTCGTGCATCGGTCACATCGTAGGCGCCCTCTGCGCCGCCCTCCCGCTGGGCTCTCGCGCACTCCATGGCGTCGTCGTCGACGATGCCGCGATGCCCCCCGAGGTCTGCGCCCTGCCGACCGCCCCGAAGACACTCTCCAGCAGGTCGAACCTGGACCGGCTCCGGCCCCCGGGGCGGAGGTCGGCCCAGGACGTCGCCGCAACATCCACCCTCTCGAAAAAACCGCAGCCCCGAACGCTGCAGGGCGGGGTGGCGCCCAACGCGCGGGGGCCCGCCGCCCTGGGCGCTGGCGCGGGGGCGGGCGCCGCCGCTCGCTCGCTGGCCCGGGCGAGGGCCCCGGCCTCCACGAGCTCCTCCGCGGGCCCGCCCGCGCCCCTCCGAGAGCTGCTGGCACTCCGCTGCGAGCTCCTCTGGAGAGGCCCCCTGCGCGTGGACCCCCCCGCCCGACGCCCGAGCTGACTCAGGGGGGGCGGCGAGACCTGGCCATCGCTCGGACGTCCATTTCCTGTTTTTTTTGTTCGGTTTCGTGCGTGGTTTTTCCGCGAAATGATCAAGGATGCTCCTCGATGGTCCTCGCCGAAGGAAAAATGCGCACGTCCGAGCGATGCCAAGATACGGGGCCGAGCGACACGAGCCCCGAGCCCTCCTCTCCCTGGTGCACCTCACCTGCCCGAGGCGCCGCGGGCATCGGCCACGCCGCCCGGCCCCGCGCGCCGCGCCAGGCGCCCTCTGCCACGCCCGCGCCGAATTCTCGGCGCGGTTGGCCCCGTCGCGGCAGGCCTCGTGGCCGCCCGACGGGCGAGGCGACGCCCCGGCACGGCCTGCCGCCGCCAGCTCCTCGAGGAGCTGGCGGCAGGCCTCGGGACCGGTTCTCGTGCCCGCACCCCGATCGATCGGGGTGCGGGCACGAGGACCGGCCCCGGGCGCGGACATCGGCGCCGACCTCGCCGTCCGCCAGGCCCGCAGCCTCCGGGCCGAAAGGCACCTCCGCGCCCCTGCGGATGGCGGCCACAGCGAGGTGCCGGCGCCCACCGCCACCGTCAACCGCACCCGCTGCAGCCCACGCACGGCTGCGCGCGACCGTAGCCATTGCCAGTGCCGCGGAGGAGGGAAAAGAGACAGAGCCGCCCTCCACTGCGAAGGAGAGAGACACGGCGCGCCCCTCGCTCGCTTCTCGCCAAAGGGAAGTTTGAGCCAAACTGGTTACAGATGTGTGTGGTGATTGTATATATATATGTATATATATATGTATATATCTATCTATATATATACACATATATATATACATAGATATGTGTGCATATGCATATGCATGCGTGTACGTATGTATGCATACATGCATGCATGTACGTATGAGTGCATGCTTGAATGTATGCATATCTGCATGTCTGTATATGTATGTATGTATGTATGTATGCATGTACGTATGTATGTATGTATGTATGTATGTATGTATGTATGTATGTATGTATGTATGTATGTATGTATGTATGTATGTATGTATGTATGTATATGTGTGTATGTATGTATGTATGTATGTATGTATGTACGTACGTACGTACGTACGTACGTACGTACATACGTACATACGTACATGCGGACGGACGTATGCATGTATGTATGTATGTATGTATGTATGTAAGTATGACTGGATGTATGTATGTATGTATGTATGTATGCAGGCATGCATGCATGCATGCATGCATACATGTATGTGTATGTATGTATGTATGCATGCATGCATGCATGCATGCATGCATGTATGTATGTATGTACGTACGTACGTACGTACGTACGTATGTATGTATGCATGTATACGTTTGTGTGTGTGTGTGTTTGCGTTAGCGTGTGTGTTTGTGCTGTTGATTGTGTGTGTGCTGTGCTTGTATTCGTGGTTGTGCTTGCGTGCGTGCGTGTATGTGTGTAATGTATGCGCGCGTGCGCGTGCGTGCGTGCGTGCGTGCGTGCGTTTGTGTGTGTGCTTGCGTGTGAGTGTGAGTGAGTGTGCGTGTGTGCGTGCGTGCGTGCGTGAGTGCGTGCATCCGCATGCGATCCAACTTGGCCCCCAGAGAGGGAAATGGGGCGCTGGGCACATTCTTGGGGCAAACCCGCGATATCTCAAATTGCCACGCTGCGCTCTCCGAGTAATGTCGGTCCCAAACGGGGAAGGAGGGCGAGGAGGAGGAGGAGTAGGACGACGAGGATGAGGAGGAGGAGGAGGACGACGAGGAGAACGAGGGGGGCATCAAACTGCTATGTTACGTGCGGTGTAGATGTCGCGTGAAGCGGACGGGAGGTGTGGGCACCGCATCTTGGTGTCGATGTCCTCTCGGTACTCGTCCCTGGACATCTCGTCCAGGGACGAGTAATACCTCAGCGGTTCCCCGCCCGTGCGGCCCAGCTGACGACGACCACGGCGTCGACAATGGAGGGAACGACGACGGCGACGAGGACGAAGATGAGGACGAGAACAACGACGAGGCCGACGACGAGGCCGACAACGACGACAACAACGACCACGACGACGACAGCGACGGCAAGCGACGACCACAACGACGACTACGACGGCGACGACGAGGCGACGGCGAAGGCGACGATGACGACGAGGGCGACGACGACGTCAGAGACGCCGACGGCGGCGGCGGCGGGGGCGACGCCGACGACAGCAAAAACCCTGGGAGGCGGCCCGAAGATTGTCGGCCGCCTCCCACGGGGAGGCACCCGCGAGCGCGGCGCCACCGCAACCCTGCATGCGGAGACAGGCCCGCCGTCCTCTCGGCGAGGCCACGAAACCACGCAAGACGGCCGATAGGACCCCACGCCCTGCCCGGCTGCAAGCAAGAGTGACCTTTGGCAACGGTGGCCTTTGGTGCGCGGTTCGGAAGGGCCACGGGGGAGCCAAATCCAGGCGCGCAAGCCTCTGGGCCCGCGCCACAGGCCAAGCCAGCGAAGGGACACTCTTACGTGGAGCCGACTGCTCAGACCCTGGACTGACGCCGCCGGCACCCGCCAGCGGGGCGGCCGCGGACCCGCGCCGCGGACCCGCCCAGCGCCGCGCCGCACACCCGCGCCGCCGCGCCACAGCCCGCCGCGCCGCAGCCGAAGGAAGCCGCGAAGCGAACGGCAGGCGTGGCACCGGCGGCGTCCACGGCGCTGCCGCGCCGCCCCGCCCTCCCCGGCCACACCCGCGCCCTTGCCCTCGCGTTCTCCCCTCCCTCGCACGCTCCGCCCTTGCTTCCTGCCCTGGGGGAACGAACAATGACATAAACATTAAAACTCTGACGTCCGCAGGGATTTGTCGCGTCGGCGCTGGGGCCCCCCTGGCGCGCCAGGGAGAGGGGTCCACCGCGGCTCCAAGAAATCCACGCGGACCTCCGAGTCGTTGTGTTTAGGTCATTTGTCGTTCCCCTATGCCCTCCCCCATCCACCTCACTGCCCGCCCGCCTGCCCCGCCTCGTCCCAAAACGATTTTGGCGTCCAACTTGAAACCCAGGCCCCCGACGTCATGACATATCCATGACGCGACCACCTGAAGTCCAGACCCATTCCCCGGGAAAGTTTTTTCATCCCGAGCTGTTTCTTGACGGTCCCGAGGCCCGATAAAGTGGCCCCTGGAGGCCGAAATTTGCAACGAACGCAAAAAAAACGTCATGAGGTTTTCATTATCCGAGGGGGTCTGGACCAAGCGCCACCGTATGCCCGCTTTTCGTATCCCGCCTGTCCCCCAGCGGGCTGCGCGGAGTGGCGGGAGCAGGAGGCACGACGCGTGCGTGGGGCCCCCCTCCTTGGCGCGCGGGGCGCGCTGGGGGCGACGCCGCCAGGCGGGGCCCAACGCCGATCCGGAAAAACTGCGCGGAATCCAAACGTTTATGTTTAGGCAGTTTCTGCGTTTCTTGAACGGTTCTGTACCGAGCGTCGTCGAGACACCTCGGCAGGGCATCGTAGGGTGAGCTTGGCAGGCCCTTCCCTGCACGCGTGTCGATGCTCCGTTGGCCCGGCGTTGGAATGCGTCCCAGGTACAATCGAAATCCACACGAAAGATGCATCATAACGGAGAGAACAACCAACGACATAAACATCAAAACTCGAAGGTCCGCGCGGACTCCTTGGATCGGCGCTGGGGCCCCCTGGCGGCGCCTCCGGCACCGTCCGTGGCACACCGATCCAAGGAACCCGCGCAAACCCCAGAGTTGTCTATATTCGTGTCTTTTGCTCAAATAGGTTAGGGTGCTAGGCCCTTGGAAGTCCCATTTACCTTTCAGAACACCTTTCTGGCCCCCAGGATAAACGAAAAAGCAGGGATGGAAGGATCGCCTTGGTGAATCAGCGCGACCTCACTATGAATGTTGACCGTAATAAACCAAACGGCTGTGGATTTCGTCGCTTCAGTGCTCGCAGAGTGCCTTAGCTGCTGGCGGCCGCTGTCGGATCAGCGCCGCTGGGGTTCCTGCGTGAAGATAGAGGCGCAAATGGCCGTGCATTCGGGGCTGCAGGTGGTGTTGCTGAAGCAGCCCCCACCAATCGGCATTCGCCTGGTTCTAATAGGCGGCCTGGCTTATTAGCACCAGAGTCTTTCTTGCAACACGGACATTCCCAGTAACGAATCCCTTTATCGAACCACCGACATTGTCGATGGTTGTGGTTGTTTCGCAGTGAATTCATCTGCACATTGGCGAAACGTGCTGGGCACCCCAACCCGCCCTACATAAGTCGGATTACGTTACCGTTGGATCGTCGTGGCATGGTGGGATCGTCCAGGTCGTAACCGGCACTGCTCGTCACAAAGAGATGCGTGCGTGCGCTCGTCCTGTGACAGAGTCGCGACCACATGCAGAAAAATGCAGTGTATTCCGATCCGCGTCATCGATGCCGGACTGCACGTTTGGCGCGCATTGGGCCGCCAGTGCTAGTTACTCGTTGCATGATCGCGAATGTTCGCGATGGCCCGCGCACCTCATATTCCCGAAGGGTTTGAATTCAGCTCTGTGATTTGCCACCACTTCTATGATTTTCTGATGAGAGCGCCGTGGGAGTCTCTCAGCCCTGCCGAACATAAGTCAATGATCTGCTTGTCCTCATCGGCTTCGCCTTCGATGGGAAGCGCGATGACTGGGGCGGCGATCGCGCTATAAATATGCTCCATCAAGCCCAGGGCATTTTGAACAGGGTCTATTCTGCCTCTGTGCGAACTGCAAGGCGCTCGCCAGGCTTGGGCCACTTGTCATCCTGCCCCGAGCCCGCGCTTCGGACCACCCCTGTCGCGGGGAAACCCGCGCGGCCGATGACTCCTCCTTCGGCAGCGGGCGCGCCCCCTGGTAGCGCGTCGGGCTGGGCCCCGATTTGGCACGGCGGTGGAGGCGTCCGCATCGGACCCCTTTCACCTGCAGGTCGTCGCCCAGGCGCGCCAGACATAACTCGTGGCAGCCCTGCAGGTCCGCCGCGCTGCAGCGGTCGATGCGATCGAAAGGAATGCGCCGCCGGGCGCCGCATCAAGCGCGGCCCGGCGGGGCCGGAGAGGGCCGCCACCCGCGGGCAAACGACGCCGCGCGCGGGCCTCCGGTCCAAGCGCGCCGCCAATTTGCGCCACAGGCGCTAAGGGCCTCGCCCAACAGAGGCCCCTCCGCCAGAGCCTGCAGGTGCGACGCCGCGACCCGCGCGACCGCCGCGCCCACCCTCCGCGCCGCCTGCGCCCGCCCCGGCGCGCCCGGAGCGCGCCGAGCGCGCGGCGGCGGCCGACGGGCCGCGCGCCCCGCTGCACGCCGCCGCCGTCGCGGGGGGCACACTGGCCAGGGCGCGGCGAAAAAGCCGCCGCGAGAGCCGCGGGCGCGGGCCCGTCGCTCAGGCCTGGCACGCCGAGGGCAACGAGCGCGGACGAGGCCGCGACAAATGCTGCGAGGCCCGCCCGGCCGTCGCGAGCGTCGCGAGCGCGGGGCGGGCCGCCCGCGCCAGGCGCCAGAGCCCCAGCGCTCGCACTTGCAGCACCAACAGGAGGTGCGGGACGACTTGGGTCGCAAAATGGATAGCATTGCGCAGCGCCTGGCGCGCGCTCTGCCACGCTGCGCTGGCACCTGGGGCCCAGGACGGGCTGGGCGAGCCGGGCGGCCGCGGGCGCGGCGGCTCGCGCTGCGCAGCGGCGCGCCGGCGCGCGCTGCAGCGGCGCGCCGGGCCAGGGCCGCCCGCGCACTGCGACGCGCCATGCCGCCAGGGCCAAGGGCGCGGGCGCGCGCCCCGCGAACCGCGGCCACTCGACGGCCCAGCGTTCGATTCCTCCTTCGCCGAGAAGACAGCGCCAGCACGGGCGCGCCGCGCGCGGGCAGGCCGCCGCGGGCCCGCCGAAAGCCGGCGACGCCAGGGCGAGCAGCGCCAGCCAAGCGGCCAGGCGGCGGCGCGCGCCCTCCTGCACGTCCTCGCCGCTGTCCGAGTCGCCCTCCTCCTCCAGGGGTTGGAGGGCAAGCGGCGCGCCCGCGCGCCGCCGTGGTCTTCGGCGGGAGGCCCGCTGCTCGCGAGCTCCCGCTGCGCCGGAGGCCGATGAACTGCGGCGGGGGCCCGCGCGCCGCCGGCGCCCTCCAGGGCGGCGACCGTGGCCGCGGGGACTTCGGGCGCCGCGCCCGGGGCGGCGGGCGGCTGGACCTCGCGGGGGGGCGCGGGGGCCGTCGGCGCCCCTGGGGCGCGCGAGCGCGCTTCTTAGAGGTGGCGCTCGTGAGCTACAAAAAAAGTATGCCAAAATTAAACCACGCGCCATGGCATTCTTGCGTGAAGGGCCAGACTCTCGCAGGTTCCCGGCCCTCGCGCCGTCGTGGGCGCGCCATCTTCATGGACCTTTCCACTGCTAACAAAGCATTCACGACCGATCGAGCGGCAGCCCCCGCCCGCGTTCTGACTGCCGCGGTGGCTCGACATCGTCGCCGCGCCATCGCTCGGCCACTTTCAATCCTCGCCGAAGTCAGGTTCGCCTCCCTGGGAAATCCGCCATGCATGCGCAGGCGCGTCGGTCGCTCCGATGGCCCCGAAAGCATTGGAGAACTACTGCCATCCCGCCGATGGGCGAGGAAGAACCATGCAACCGCGTCTACATGGGGGAGTGAAAAGATAATTCCCCCGACCCTGTCGGCGCGTGCATGAGCCTGTTCCGTGCGAATCGTCGTCGTCGTCGTCGTCGCCGCTCCCCCTCGAGCGTTCCAGCCAATGTCAGATCGAGCAGCGTGGAAATTGAAGCGGAGGGGGGCCCTCCCCTGGGACCCCTCCACCGACGGGGTCGGGTTGAAGAGGGCCCGGGGGCAGGGGGGAGGCCTGCCCTCCGCGCGCGTGATATTAGAAATCCCGCGGCACCCCATAGCTCGCCCCACGCCG